GTACCTATACTCCGTTGCGATAATGCCTGAATAGGCTTCTACAACGTAACCATACAGATACAGATAAAAGTGCCTTTCTGTTATCCTACGGTTTTCATAGAAATTGATGACGTGCATGCCATGAGCAGCCAGTGATGCAAGACACAGAGTCAGAGGAATGCAGCATATGATGCAATTTTTTAGCAGGTTGATCTCCAATGGGCAGCAGACATGGAAAGAATGTTGCAACCTGACGTCACTTCAGCGGTACAAAATCTATGGTGAGTCAAAAAAATTGAAGTATTTCCTAACATTAAAATTGCAAATGTTTCTTAGTTCTAGATTCATGTCTTAGCATAATATTTGCAATGACTGTCCTTCATTGAGATGATGTATGAGGAAAACGGCAGAGTCATATTCTTTTTTTTTTTGGCCTAATAGAGAGTCGGGAACTAGGATAGCTTTTATGGGCGGAAACCAGTTCAAGCTAGTTCCCGATTGTCTTATACCATTTGAAATCCACTTGTGTTCACAAGCGAGATCCAGTCTACTCATTTTCATATTCGATGCTTCGCGCTCGGTAACGGAATCGCACTCGGGATATGGGGACCATTGATTGTACGCTGGGCATGAAGACTACATCACGTCATTCAAACATTAACACGAGTCGGAAATTTAACGTGTTCATGATCGCAAGGGGAACTCTCAGAATTGAACGGGAAATTTCACTTTTCTTCCGGATCGTAAGTAGACTTCAGTACAACCATCTTAATCATCGATGTCTATTTGTACCTCAGGTGGCGTATCTAGTAATTGGGAGGCCATGTAGAGGGTGAAATCTGCATGTTAAAAAGACGATAAGTTGGGTCCAAGTTATTCGGACTACTGTAACAGTGTAAGTGTAGTCCGAAAATTTGGGACTCTCAATACTGTGTATGAGACTAGTCCCAAAACTTATGGTATTGAAAACATGCAAAGCAAGAAAATAGACTGGCACCTGAAACAACCAGTCCAACACAGCTTCAGTACTGCATCAATCAACCATGCCAAAAGAATTAAAGAAACATGTGGCATGAAGCGGGAACTAGTCTCAATTTACTACACATTTCTCCGTAGTCAAGCCACCAGACTATTGACACTGAATGATGAAGAGGTCAGTCTTTTCAAATAGTTGGACCATATGGTCATGATGGTTGGACATGTACCAGTCTAGTATTTAGTCCCATTTTGAAATCACTTGACGTCCCTCTCATGTGCAAAACATTGAAGAAAAATGTCCTTTGAAAATTGAATTGAGTCTCCAAACTTGGTTGGTGAAATACTGAGGACATTTTCTTTGCCCGTTTTGTTTTGCACGTTTCAGAGCACTCCAGAGCCCTGTCTGCTGTAAGTGTAACTTAGCCCTAGTCCTAGCCCAGGTTGGACTCTGTTGTGTACACGCAACGGAGTCCAGGGTATGAATCTCTCCTGCCATAGCGAAAAAAGTTTTAACACATTTAGTATTAATAAATATTGCTTGAGATTATTTATGCTTATTGAATTCTTCTCATTGTCTTTGGGTAATGTATTTTTTTTTTCATTAGAAAATTGACGTGGCAGGTCACACAGTGGATGATTTGGTGAACAAGACAATAGAATACCTTCAGCCCAATCCAGGTAAGAACCAAAATTGAAACATCATTGACGCTAACCTTCCCAAATCCTCCAAAATCCTATTTGCAAAATGTAGGCTTTTGCAGGATTGAGGCTATATGGCAAAAATGTGTGCCTGATTTATGAGGATGCACTGTGTCAAGGTCTTGGGCCGGATCTTGTGTTGTTCCCTGAGCTCAGGGAACCAGACTAGCTGGCTTGCATCCATTCACGGATGTGTAACCGCTTGCAAAAAAAATGCCGACTAAATAAATTGGGTAAATTTGGGCACTATTTGGACAAATCAGTTTCTTTCTATGATGGTCGGCCGACCATCTTTTGAAATCAATACAAAAATTCCACTTTTCTTAAAAATGACAGCACACCAGGTGCCATGATTTCACAGGATGTCTGAGACTGTCATTCACCTACAGTCAAGTAAAGTATTTCATAATAATTTGGTAGTTTTGTTTGTTGATGTTTGCAAATGTCGTATATTACCTTTAATTGTAACCTTTGGAATAATTACGTTTGGGGTGACTATAGAACACCGGTTTGAATCGGGTCTAAGTATTCACTTCAAACAAACCAAATAGAGATAGATCTTCTATTTGTGTGCTGACCCTAATCAATCGTATTGTCTTTCCTGAACAGTCTCCAGAGCCATGAGTAAAGTCCGTGGTCAGAACAAGGGAGGAACCAAGCCTCAACAACCCGTAGGATTCCTGGGAGAAGTCATGCTGAAGAACGGCAGAGAATTAGGAGAAGATTCGACGTTTGGTGAGCAAGCTTCAAGATGTATTCTCTTTTCTTCTGTGGTAGACTGATCATTAAGCTCTTAAATAGGTGCTCTAATCAGTGTTCCAATCCACCAACATAGTACCATGAGTATTGCGTAATTTATGTAGGGCCCAGCACTTCAGATATATGCAAGGCCAAGTAAAGAAATAAACCAGTTTCTCTTACCTGCCGGTTGCCTTTTTTGCACCCACTTTTTATTTTTTTATTTTTTTTTATTTATAAATGCATACATTCGCAATATACAGGTGAGTCAAAAAAGACAAAACCCAGATGGCAGGACCAATTTTTGAATAAAGTTTTGCCTGTAGCACTTTCTAAATCTAGGATATGAAAGCCCAATCAATGGGCTTTGTATTAACACAAGAATCATTCACATCACTCATTTGCTTAAAGTTACGGAATTTTGAACACAAACACCATTTTAAAGTTCTGTCCATGGATCACAAAGAAATGTACGTGTTATTTCAGCAAAATGAAAACAATTTACATACATCCCTGTGAGAATTGTTTTCATTTTGCTGAAAAAACACTTACTTTTTTACATATGTGACATGCCATTTCTTACATCCTCTTGCCTAGCGCCCTCGCTTGATTGTATTATGTATTCCTCTAGAGCCCCCAGCCAAGCCAACATTCCTTAGGACCCCCCACTTGTCCATTAGTTCTGATTCCCTCATTCCCACCATAGAGCCTGGACAGTGAACAGCTCTGTGGACCGCTCAGCTATTGTTTCCATAATTGACTCAAGATCAGAGTTTTATGTATTCCTCCCATTGAGGATTGCAAGAAGCTAGGCTAGGGTAAGTGTCTATTTTATTTTGTGTTCTTTAAGAATTCCAGAAGTCATGTTTAATGGTTTAATTATTATCAAGTTACATGTATCTACTTTCTCACTGATGCTTTCTTCAGAGGTTAGAAGTTGTTTTAATCATACATTATCTACAACTAGTTCCCTTAGAAATGTATAGAATTGCTTTTCCTATCATTAATTATTATTTGTTATTTTCTGATTGATAGTTTTGCTGAGAAATTAGTATCTTTAGTTTCCTTTATATTTACTTAGTTTAGTAGCCAAACTTTCCCATGCTTTGCAGTGGATTGCCACCTGTTAAACATCACCACTGTGGAATGTTGCTTGCCTCTCTGGCCAGAGTAGAAATCCCCTTAGGCCTTATGCTGAGTGTAATGCTAGTGGTTAGGAAGTGAACATATCGATAGTCCCTATTGCTACACAGCATTGTTTTATCGATAGTGCCCCCAGTGTACTGTGGTTTATGTTGAGTCTGCTCAAGCAATTGATATGTGATCACTGCAACATTGCCTGGCACTAGATGGACCACTGTTTATTAACTGCCCCTGATAAGAGTGTGCAGGTTTTCCTATGTTTTGTCAGAGTAAAGCTAATTATGTATTCACTCTGTTCTGGAAAAGTACATGTACTAGCAAGCTTTTGTTTTTCTTCATTCAAGTACCAGACTGTTTAGCCTTGGATAGAAGCTTTAGTTTTATGATTTACTTTTTAGTATTTACTCCTCTTATTTCTTAGGTTTGATACAAAACATTTAGAGTTTATTATTCTTAGTTTGTTTTGATTAAGATTTCACTCACTTACTAATATATTCTTTGACTCAGTACAGAACCATTTTATGCAGTTTAGCTGAGGTTGTGTTGTATACTTTTAAGACTTATAAGAGTTTTAAGACTAAAGCAATCACTTGCCTTGTTCATTCTTTGGACCAACATAACTTAACTTTCTGTTGACAGTTAACAGCATATTCTTCCTAGTTAGAGTTTAAGTTTCTTTCATTATATTATTATGCATTTTTCTTATTTGTGAATTCTTTGTTCTTTCTCACGAAGCAATGTATTTACAAAGAACTGTGTTTTATATCTTTTCAGGGTTTTTATATGCAGACACCATATTAAAGAACACACACCAGTCAGAGTATGCTTGTCTCCATTGCATGATTTCTGACGGTCACACGTGGAAGAATGATCACTGCCTCAATCCTACAAAATCCTCCAGCAATCACTGTCAATATGTTGAGGCAGAGCCAGTGACAAAATAGTCAGACGGACATTTCTTTTGGACATACTGTATAATGCGTATAATATTTGTTTGCACTAAAAGAAAAACAAAAATTGCATTGAAAATAGTGTTCCTTGTAAGCCTTCAATTGTGGTTTAGATTTTTTGAGGACTTAGTTTAGACAGTCGAGAAAAAGTTTGAACTTTGTGTGTCAACCATATTCACTCAGCGGCCAATATGATCTGCCAAATATTGTTTCCAAAAGTGGATATTGTCATCGGGAACTGAACTTTGTTACTTTGATCGATAGGCCTAACTGTCTCTAATAGAAGAGTTTAATCATGAAATCCTTAAAATTAACGTCGCTATGAAAAATTTTCCACACCTTTGAATTCAACATCATTTTTTTTTTCACCACTCACTGTATTAATGTTTTACTTTCATTTTTCACTGTGCATCATCTACATACTCATCAGCATTAGCAGGTTTGGTCGGTATGTCAATAGTCTAGTTCCTAGACTCGTCATGAATGGTCCCTTATTGTGCTTAGCACCCATAGTGTACACCCATAGCTCAGTACAAGTTTGAACTAACAATAAGCGAAATTGTCTGTGAGTTTCAAAAATGAGAATAGATAGTGTTGTTGACCTTTGTTAATGCACAATATTACCTTGTACTTTCCCTACAACAATATTGTGAATGTGTGTATGTAGAATGCTAGATGCTTAAGATTTACAACCGTGATAAATGTCCATGTAATAGATTAACCTCAGTCCACATGTACGTGCAGGCTTTTAAGTATTCATACTTTTCCTAGATTTTTTTTTTTACCGTGCTCAAATTTTTCCTACTTTTTCTTGAAATTCCAACTTTTTTCTATTTTTTTGTCCCACAACTCCGAAGAAATTTAATCTCATTGAAAACTTTCATGGCAGTGTTACACACTGTCAAATCACACAATGAAGGGCTTGGGCGCAGGAGTACTGCAACTGTACTTCCAAGAGCTTAGTTGAGGATGGAGCACAAGTGTTGTGAGTACAGAACATGCCAAATGAGGCTTATGATGCTGTGGACATGGGCGAGCATCAACGAAAACTACCCCAGAAAGCCCACTACAGTCCTACTTTTATCCTGAGTTTGTCCTCCAAAATCCGACTTCTGTCCTGTTGGTTTTTGTAAATTTTGACCCTACTTTTCTCCTTTTTTTTCACCTGGGTCTGCTTGAAAGCCTGTACGTGTATCGTACTATCATGACGTTCTATTTTGAAGTGTGTTTTAAATCAAATTAGGTTAATTGCCCTTCCACAACGTTTAAACACTGTATACTCAGTGGGTAACACACTGAGTACACAGTGTTTAAACGTCAGTGAAAGGCAAAACCTGATTTGATTTATATCACCCCGACGCAAAATTCCATCTTATAAAAGTGTGTTTTAGTTAGTTAATCAGTTACATGTCCCTAATAAACGTCTACTCCTTCAGGATTGGTCTAGACAGCCTCCGGGATAAAAAAAACGACCAAACTGAATACAAAGGAATCCAACGGCTGTTTAGATTAATGGTCTCCATGCGCAAACAGGAGAGGGAGCTATTTGATCACTTTTAATAGTCCAGTGGATGGGGCACACTACGTATAGCGCATGGTACCCTGACTACTTTCATTCCCAATATGCACAAAGCCATAGCGTCTTCCTGTGACGTCAGGCGTCGTTGGCAATGCGTTCAAATGTCTCTCCCAGTCGTCTCCCCGACCCCAACTCTCCCTTTCCTACCGTTGAGGGGGTACTTGTGCGAAGAGCCCATTGGTCTTTAATCCTATGATGACATCATGTTTCTATTTTTACTTTCCATGTACCCGTAAAAACGTTTTCGTCGGTTCCTCTCAGCAGCAGGTGGTATGTCAACACCGATTTTGTAGTGTAGCATTTCGTAGAAAATATTGTGGTGAAATAGATCAGAATTAATTGAGGATTCAGAAAATACAGTATAAGGCCAAAAATCTGTGTGTCCGTCATGCGTAGTGCGCACTGCCTGATGTGTAAAAATCAGTTGTTTGATAAGCAATGTGCATACATACATAGGTCCATGTACCTGTATTGCGCATTGCGCTATCCCTGCTGCGTTAAGACCAGTCATTGTGGGAATATGAGCTTTTACGTCGGTCAAGTGTGCCGAGAAATACGTACTCGTGGATTTTCAGAGTACGCATCGCGGATACGCAACTGGTATGCAAAATGCAATACGCACATCAAAAACGGACACATGGATTGTCAGCCTAAAGCGTATCAAATTTGGCCAGCAGTCTGGGCTATAGAGTAGGCAGTAGTGCTATATATTTGTAGATTTCGCCGTGGGTGCAGAGTCGAAAATGAAGGGAAAAGGAAAAAGTGTAAAGCCACGTCAGAATGAAGTGGCTACGGCTAATACATTAGTTGCACCTATGGAAGCAGATGAAGCCACTTCCCATGTGGGCTAGTGTTAGTCGTAGCCATGTCATTCAGATATGGCTTATGCTCACTAACAGAAGGGTTAAGCAGGGTTACTGGAAATTACATTCTCATATACAGTGGAACGTTGCTATACCAAACACCGCTATTTTGAAATATATTATCCCAGATTTCTAAAGCTCGGTAGTCATTTTTTTTGAAAATCAAAACTGGATTAGAGTTCACTTTGTCATTTTGCAGTTTTGGTTTTGTTTTGGTTTTGATGCTAGCTTGTGCATGTTACTTCCTTTATTTTGTTTGGCATTTCATGTGAACGTCCTCATGAAACTTGCATGTTTTGTTTTTAAACATCCTGCTTGGAACACTAACAGCATGTCAAAGAACAAACGTAACCCTGCAGCATTTTCACTTTGCCTGCATGTTTAAGCCAGCTGCTATGTTTTCTTGATTGGAGATTATCATTCCGTTTTCATTTCATTTTTTTTTCAGTTTATTTTAAGCACATCCAAATCAAGCAACAGTCCAAAGACCAAAAATGTCTGTTTTACTGGGTGATGAAATACGACAATTTATGTTATCAATAAAACCTAAACAATATTCAAAAAGAAAAGAAAATTGCTTTGGAAGATGATCAGATTGACCCCAAAATGGTAAACTTTAAGAGTGCTGTTAGTTTTAACATCAAAAGACATATTACATGTTACAAGTTTTAGAATGTAATTTGTAACTGTTGTAAATTATTGTCTACTAAAGAAGGACAATTACTGGCAAAGAGTTAATGTTGGTTGTAGCTGATTCTGTCAGAAATAACATGAATTTGTATAATGGAGGTATCATGAATATTCATTACATCTCATACATATTAATGAGCCTGTTTTTGCATTTTGTTGGTCAATATTCAATTGCATTGATGAAAAAAATTGACCCAAATAATTTTTGCGTGGACTCAAACTTGGAAAAGTGTAGATAAGTGACTTTTCCGAGGACGAAATTGAGAATGTCTAAGTGTTAAATATGTGTGAGTTGTAATAAGTACGGAACTTTGTTATGCAGCTGATTTCACAAAACAGTGCGTAACTTACGCCATGCGTAGGACTTACACGCAACAAACTTATTGCGCGGCCACGCAATGAACTTACGATCGATTTCACAAAAGTTGGCGTTCATGGGCCATGTTTTAAACAATCTAAACATCTTGGACGAGGATAATAACAGCATTTCATGGAAGAAATGTTTGTGTATGATTTGTTCGTTCGTGAAGCAGTTGTTGAATCACTTCCGCCCGCCATTTTGAAAAAAAAACCTGGATTAATACAACAAATTCTTAAAAAGCAATCAAATTTAATAGACGAATGAAGTATACAAAATGTAGCTGTCCATGGAATGCCATTGGAAGCTATTGAGCTGAGTGAGAATTACAGATTACACACGGGCATTCAAATACAAATGAGATTTCAATCATTTGAGTCAAGACTGAAACAGTATTTTTACTGTCAGATTTTGTGTTTCGATTATGAGGAACAAGTCCACTCTTTTTTTCTGAAATATTGATGGCAATTTTTGTTCATTTTTGTCCGTTTTTCCATTCACTCATGGAGGTGGGAAAACGTTTATGTTTCATGGTATTTAATGGGTATTTATTTGTTTGTAGAATGATAAATGATCAGTGGTGGACAACTGAATTTTGGATCATTGTATCAAAATATTCATTACTTGGGAATAGAGTATGCAAATTACGTGAAATTTTCACAGTTACTAGTCAATAACAAGTACTTTACCCCTATTTTTATTAAACAGAGCAAGCCACATATTTTTTGAAATATGTTTCTAATTTGGTCACTTTCTTTATGACTCATTGTGTACATGGTGACGGATTAACTCTAACTCCCTAGCATGATGTACCAGGAACCATACCCATCCTGGCAAATTCCAACACCATATGGGAAACTGCTCACACATATTTCTGACTTTGATTCTGGAGGTGTGCCAACCCAATGTAAAAGACTGTCAGTTTAAGGGTACTGTACCCATCCTGACAGATTCCCACTAAACATGCCGTTGGGGTTTGATGGGTTGAGTTCTGTTAGGGTTAATGCATGCTTGCATGATGCAGGAATTATACTACATTTCCACACCAGGAAAATACTGGCATCTTGGATAATTCTGAGCCAATATGTCTGACTTTTGTTCTCATCAATCTTGTTTTTGTTTGTGTTGCAGGAAGCACAATTCCTGAAGAAGAAATCCAATTTGCAGAAGAGAAGTTTCACGAATCTCAGGAGCTTGCTGAGAACGGGATGAGGAACCTCCTTGAGAGTGATGTAAGTACCTGACAAATCGGACCAAAGATGAGCCAAGATGCACTAGAGCATCTTACTACTCAATGAGATACCTCTCAAGAACAAGTTTTCACTTTATATTTCTTCGCATTTATTTTGATATTTCTCTCAGTTCAACCATGGAAGAATAATTTATACCGACATTGTATGGGTGAAGAGATTGACGGTTTCCTATTTATTTCTGTTGTGTAAGATATTCTTTAAATGGCCATTTAATGTAATTTTTTTATGCAATCCTTGAAAATGTACCTTTGTGTCCCATTTAACCTCATAACTTTCAGTTATAATTTTGCAATTTTTAAGGGTACTTAGGTGCCGTTTTGGTTTTTATGCCAGTGAGAATTTCCATATTCATGAGCAAATGTGTGATGTCATTTTAGGCGGAAACTTCAATGTTATAGCTATTTCAGCACCAACATTTGGGATATTTTGATGTTGTAAAGTTTCTTTGGTGATTTGTTTGTTTTGTCAGAGCATGGTAGTAAGCAAATGAGCAAAGTTTTCTCACAAATGTTTTCAATGAGCAAATTTTGGGTTCACAATTTGAACAGAAAACACCTAAACTGAACAGTGTCTTCCTGAAATGACATCACAGCAACAGCACCCTCATTTGTCAGGAAAAGCATGGACAATATTAAATGTTTAAAAAGTACACTTTTCAATACATTTATCCAAAAATGGATGTGAAATAGTTTTCATACATTTAAAGGGGAGTAGAAAGTTGTACAAATTATGTTCCCAAATGAAATTCATGTCATGGGGCCCTTTGAAATAAAAAGGGAAAATCTTTCCTATTTCTCAAAAGTAGCTATGGCGTATTGTGTTTCATTTCGATTCAATAAACATGGTTAATAGACATGGTAAGGTATCAAATTTCCTGTTGCAAGTCTGATAAATGGGCCTATTTGAGTTGGTAGCAAATCCATCCAACTATTTCTGGAGTAAGATGTTGATGAACAGAGATTTACGGACTAATTGATTGGTTTTCTTTAACAGGTTGAGCAGGTGTTACAGCTTCAAGCGTTAGCCGAGGCTCAGCTAGAATACCACAAACAGTCTGCAGAGGTTTTGGAAAGCCTTCTGTCAACACTCAATGAAAGGTATGCCAACAGGGGAAATCTGCCCCCCCCCCCCCCCCCCACTCACTTTTCATTAGAATTGTGATTGACTTGTGATTGACTTGTGATGGACTTGTGATTGATTTGTGATTGACTTGTGATAGACTTGTGATTGACTTGTGATTGACTTGTAATAGAGTTGTGATGGACTTGTGACAGACTTGTGATGACTTGTGATGACTTGTGATAGACTTGTAATGGACTTGTGATTGACTTGTAATATAGTTGTGATGGACTTGTGACAGATTTGTGACAGACTTGTGATGACTTGTGATAGACTTGTGATGGACTTGTGATTGACTTGTGATGGACTTGTGATGACTTGTGATGGACTTGTGCTGGACTTGTGATTGACTTGTGATGACTTGTGATGGCCTTGCGATGGCCTTGTGACTGACTGACTATAATACCCATACTTGTCAGTTACCATCCTTCTCAATGTTCTGTGATGTTTTCCAGGGTTGAGGAGGCAGGCAGTCGACCCAAATCAGAACGCAAACCCAGAAGTACTTTCAACTCTTACTCCACGAAGAGAGACTCCAGTGACGGAGACGACACCGACGCGTACCCGTCAACGGTGGATTACAACGCACCAGGTAAGTCAACAGGGATCTCATGCTCCAGCTCAGCACACAGTTTGCTTAAGGTTGCAGGCCAGTAAATAGGCCCCAAATTGCCTTCCCTGGCCAAATCACGATTTGAATGTCCTCAATTTGTTTGCTACATTGTATTGGAGCATTTTGTGGGCCGTGAACTTGAGGGTTTGTAAAACAAGAAGGGTCCATGCCGTGATGAGGACGAAATTTGGATGAAATTACCAGTAGGCCCTAAATTTGCTCTATTTTGCAATGGAGCATAGGCATCGTTTTTCAAAATGGCGATGGACTTCAGGACTACTTTCAGGGGTATTCATCTTTGGATGGAATTTTCTCCCAAAAACTCATTGGATTACCCACCGAAACTTGATGAAATGTAAGATGATGAAATAAGCTTTAATTTGATGTGTGCCTCAAGCACCTTTAGAGACTTGTGAGTATTTGTCCTGATCTTTAGAAGTGGAAGTATTTATCACTGAGGTTTATGGCAGTTTAATCGCTGGTTTGCAATCTACAGGCTTTCAAACCGGACAGAAAATATTGCTCAGTAAAAACAGGTCACCAACTAACCATCTGTCAACTGTCATGTGAATATTAGTTGTAACTGGTACCTTGCAAATTTGTGCAAACTGAATAAATTTGCTATTTTTCAATTGATTTTGTGATATTTATTTCCAATTTCTCAGTACCTGTAACGGCAACGAAGGAACGCTGCAAGGCACTGTACGACTTTGAGGCAGAAAACGAGGGCGAACTGGGGTTTCAGGAGGGCGACATCATCAGCATCGTCAGTAAGATCGACGAGAATTGGATTGATGGAGAGTTAAACGGTCACACGGGATACTTCCCAGCTAACTACGTGGAAATTATCTAACCGGTTTAATCATGGTAGGTGGTAGCGTTACTTATAGTGTTGCAGTTTGTACTTTGTCATCGTGTGGTTGAGTATGAGCGTGAGTTCTTCGCGATGAGTACACGCACAAGTACTTTGTCATCCTGAGTTTGAGTACGAGTACGTTGCCATGGGCACAAGGACACATTGAAGTACTTTGTCATCATGAATTCAAATACAAAGACGAGTACTTTGCCTTGAGTACTAGTACGAGTACGCATATTCTGGCATGACAAGTATGAGTATGAGTACTTTGCCTGAGTATGAGTCATTTCTATCAGTATGAGTACTACAATACTGGTTACTCACAATGGAACTCTGTGTACAGTGAACAGATACATTGAATAGCGCCCTCTGGAGAGTGGTCCAATGTATATCAGCATAATGTCAATAAGCCTTTTCGGAGTTCCAACTGCGCATTCGTAACCTGTGACAACGCATATTGTTTGTCTCAAATGCCCTTTGACAGTACCCACAATGCACAAACAGCCTTTTTGTAAAGTCAGTGGCGCGATGATGTCAAAGGCCATTTGAGACAAACAATGCGCGTTGTCACAGGTTACGAATGCGCAGTTGGAACTCCGAAAAGGCTTATTGTGTACTTTTTTTTTTTTTTTTAAATTCCATCATATTAAGCTATGTATTTCCATAGACGAGATCTCTTAATTGTTAGTTCTTCGTAAGCCTTGGCAGTCTGGTGTTTTCTTTCTTGAAACAACTAAGAATATGTCTTCCCTTTGATTATACCAAATGAGAAATTACCGGTCTGTTGGTGTTTAAAAGGAGGCATTATACAACTTGGAACTCTTGAAAAGTCCCCCAGATTCAGTGAATTCCAAATGATGTGGCTACGGCTAGGAAGTACAGGAGTCTATGGGAAGTGACCTCAGCCGCTTTCCATAGACGTGGCTACGGCTAGGAAGTACAGGAGTCTATGGGAAGTGACCTCAGCCGCTTTCCATAGACGTGGCTACGGCTAGGAAGTACAGGAGTCTATGGGAAGTGACCTCGGCCGCTTTCCATAGACGTGGCTACGGCTAGGAAGTACAGGAGTCTATGGGAAGTGACCTCCGCTGCTTTCCATAGACGTGGCTACGGCTAGGAAGTACAGGAGTCTATGGGAAGTGACCTCAGCCGCTTTCCATAGACGTGGCTACGGCTAGGAAGTACAGGAGTCTATGGGAAGTGACCTCAGCCGCTTTCCATAGACGTGGCTACGGCTAGGAAGTACAGGAGTCTATGGGAAGTGACCTCAGTCGCTTTCCATAGACGTGTGTGTGATTGCAAGCCGTAGTCAAGTAATTTGAACACAGCCTTGATCAAGGCTTGCTCAAGAGTAGTCTGGTACCGTTTGCAGCACAATGGGGAAAATACTAGGTTGCCATCAGGAACTAGCATTTGCATTGACATGTAATTTGTTTGATACAGAACAAGGATAGCCGTGTCTGAATTACTCAGCTATGGCTCATGTGTAATATCAAGCCGTAGTCGTAGCCCAGTAATTCAGACATGGCTAATTATTCCAATTTTAAAGACGCTCCCTAACACACAGGAACTGAACAATTTAAGAATAATTTCTTGATATTGTAATTCATTATATCATAATGATACAAATACCGAATGTTACATTACTTGAATATTATGTATAAATGGAACTAAAATAATTCTTGCGTACCTTTTATCTATTTTATAACGGAAATCTTAAGCAACTGATCATTGTGGTGTTTGTTTTTTTCAATCGTAGAATTGTTTTCTGTTTTGGTAGACGTAGTTTATGTATCATATATAAATAAATAACCTATTTTTGTACAGAACTTAGCTGTGGAGAATGGTTCACACTACAATGTCTGATAGGGAAAAGAGTGGAAAAGTTATCATAGATGTCCAGATTTCAGAGATTATAGAGCAAACTTTTGTGTCGACTAGACAGGGTTGAACTTTGGGCATTTCATTTGAGAGTTGCCAGTTCAATCTTGCATTGATATGTTTGTCTTAATAAGAAAAGTACTTTATATTTTGCGTTGAAGCTAAAAACTGTCTCAAGTCGAGATTGATGGTCTTTATTTTACTAGTTATTTTTTTTTTACTTGTGTAGTTATATCCCTGAACTTTATGTACAGTTGACACTCAATGTATAAAGGCAGTAGGGAAATCAATCCCTATTTTTCCTTTCTGGATGGCATTTGTGAGAAACGTGTTAAACCCGAGATTAAAACCCAAGGTAGTAGTAATGGTACGCTTTTGGAAAGAATGCAGTATCCAGACGCTACTTCTTTGGCTATGCACAAAGTCTATGGAGAGTCTAAGACCACTTTCTAACAAAATTAGGCTCATGTTTCTCAGTCCAAGATTCATGTCTTTTTTGACATTTTTGCAGTGACTAATTCATTGAGATAATATATGACGGAAAAATGACGTCAGGATGCAACAGTCTTTCCCATATTTTTCTCTGAGTGAAATTTCTTCTTTCTTTTTTTTACACCTGAGACTCTAACAGAGAAAAATCTATTCAAACTTTTTTTTTCAATCTAAGTGTATTTTGTTTTCACCTGAATGATCTGGTGCCTACTTTTAGTGGGCGAAAGAGTGATTTGTCGAACTTAAAAATAAGAATGTTTTTGCAGGTTTTCTGCAAGGTGTGCGTGTATAAGAGATCCCTAACTTGTAAGTTCCTAACAATTATGCATAACTACTCATGATGCATGTACCTTGATGTAAGTTCAGTCTGTCACAAGCCAATGTGGCCCATCAGGCTGGCATTTATCTCCAGTTTCAGTAGCATGAAACAAGAATATTTCTACTCCCCCTGGATGGGATGCTAGTCCATCTCAGGTTACTCCCCAGCTAATGCTGGAACCATTTATACTCCTGGGTGGAGAGAGGCAAGTGGGGTAAAGTGGCTTGCCCAAGGACACAGCATATGGCCAGCAGCTGGATTCAAACCCTAATGTGTCCTTCAACAAAAATCTGTTGAGATTTGTTGGGTTCCAATAATAATGTCAGTGACAGTTAAATCTTCTTTGTAAACATGTCCAATTTTTCATTCTCAAAGATTCATATAATTGTCAGCGCGGCTACGTAGTAAATAATTTTATACATGTGTACTTTACATGTATTGTCTCTTACATCAAAAATGTTACATAGTGACTTGAAACAATGAGAATCCAATGATTAGAAATTAATGTGTGGTCGACTAATTTGAGTGTTTATGTTTCATTTTAGTATTTTGTTGACTACTTCTTTTTCATGTTTTTATTTTATTTTATTTTTTCATTTGATGTGACCCTAATATGAAAATGAAAATTAAGAAAAGGAATTGTCCAGATTTTGTTTTCATGTTGTACATGGATTTACGGTGGCTGATTTCCGCCAAGAATACATTTTTTTTTATTACGGCGTTATAACGCGATAAATAATTTTATCGCGTTATAACGCCGTATTATCGCGTTATAACGCGCTATTATCGCGTTATAACGCGCTAATTTATCGCGTTATAACGCCCTAATTTATCGCGTTATAACGCGCTATTATCGTCCTTACATTGTACTGTTTAAGTGATTTTGAACGGGAACCTCGTATTTTGAGTTTAGTAGGAAGGGGCGTAATCATACATGTCGCCACTACATTTTAAGTTAAATGGAATGGAGTTTGGCCGCCACCATGCATTTAAGTTTTTTATCAGACTTGTGTTTTCTTAAAAAGAAGTGGTTTTCTGGCTAGTAAAATAGCAAGGAAGAACCGGTTTTGTGCAAGCAAAATTCAGGGAATAATCTGTTGATATTAATAACTTGTTGGAAAGTTCCAAGGTCATTCCAAGAAAGTTGCCGCCGTGAATTAGGGTTTAAAACATGGGAGGGGGATGGGATTTGCTATCAGCATCAGCAGGGCCGTTCCTCATTCTTTTCTTGTTATGGGATGTATGATAACATTGGAGTACGATGGCTCTGCGAGCTGATGAATCTTTTTTTGAAAACATTGTGTTTGCAACCAGCTAGGGAAAATTTTCGTTTATTTAAGACTTACAAGCACTGGTATGAATACCTGTGTAGTTATATGACTAAACTGCCTAGAGCGTATTTTTTTAAGTTTTTTCCCCCTTTTTTGGAAATTCAATACGCATATAGGGAGTAAAATCAGTTCCACTGCTGGGTTGCGGTGATGGGTGGGTTATAACTTGTCAACACATAGCGGGCCCATTAGATTGGTGATAACCGGAGAGCGGGAGTTAAAAAAAAAACTCATCCGGTGTTTAGACGACGCAGGGACTGGTTTGTGTACATGTGGTTTTTGTTTCTAGTTCACTTAATGTTTTGATTTATACCGGTGATAATATGCCGTCCCACCTGTTTTTCTTTTTTGTGTCGGGGGAAACAGTGCATATTTTCTGTGCCCTTTTTACGCACTTCATCAGTCACCCTTTGTTTAATTCTTTTGTACGTATTTACTTTATTGCTAATGATGGTAAAGAATATTTTACGCGTTAGCTTTTCTTGTAATGATCAGACTATAAGTGGATTCCTTATTTTTTATTTTTATTTCGAAATCCATGCCTAAATGACCATTATGTTAGTTCTGTTCTTCAAGAAGTTCCAAAAGGATTTGAACGTTCTCCTCATCCAAGTTTTTTTCTTGGTTGGATGGTGGAGATGGGTTAATCCTTGATCGGACCAGGCCATCTTTTATGTTTTTTTGTCGTTTGTATGCCAGGATGGGTTGGGTCGCAAAGAGTGCACTGAGAAAATCATTATCGCTGATCAGATTCCAGTGTTTCAGAAGGGCCTGCTTAAGAGCTGGGTGTTTAATTTGTGGGTTGTAGGGTAAAACAAAGACCAGCGGGATATTCTTTTCGGTTTTTACACGCTTTTTAGAGTTCACGCGAGTTTCGCCTTTTTGGGGAAGAAGGGCTAAATCTTCTTGGTTGTATCCGCGTTTTTGTAGTTTGTCTTTGAAGAATTCAACCTTCTCCTCAAATTCTTTTGAGTGTGTGCATATACGGTCATATCTCATTATTTCTCCCTTAATCAAACCGCCAAACACTGACTCAGGGTGGGCTGAATCTCGAGCAAGATACTGAAAGGTATCAGTTT